GGGCGAGCGGCGGGCTGTCTTACGAGCACTCCCCGTTATTCCCCGTGTCGTTTCTCCGCAGCAAGACCAAGGTGAAAAGGAGAACCCCATGCGAGAGCTGCGCATCCGCAAGCTCTGCCTCAACATCTGCGTTGGGGAGAGTGGGGACAGGCTCACCCGAGCAGCCAAAGTGCTGGAGCAGCTGACGGGCCAGACCCCCGTCTTCTCCAAAGGTGAAGGGTGTGTTTTCCTGTGGGCTGCGTGTTCTGGGGGCTGGAAAGGAGCAGTTTGTCTGCTGGCTTTAGCAGTAGTTGTTTCTCTTCCCCTACTGAGCATGCAGAGGGTGTAGTGGCAGTGTGGCCCCCAGGGAAGAGGCTCCTTGGCAGAGCCAATGTGGAGAGGTCTGTTCTGGTGTCCCTGTGGATGTTTTGAGAATTGGGGGCCTTAAATGTTCAGGTGCCTTAAATGTTCAGATGCTGGTGGTTATTCTAAGTCAGTTCAGTTCTGTCTGCAGTCTTGGGCTGCTGCTCTGCCCTCATCCCAAAGAGGGAACATTTGGTTGCTTTGGTTCTTTTTCCTTTAAAATAATTTCTTCAGTCTTCTTAAACAAGTGCCAAATCCCCCGGGTGGGAATTCTTTGAATAGCTTCTAAGTGTAATTATTGCTGCCTACAGCACGATACACTGTGAGATCCTTTGGCATCAGGAGAAATGAGAAGATTGCTGTTCATTGCACGGTTCGCGGGGCCAAAGCAGAGGAGATCCTGGAGAAGGGGTTGAAGGTGAGAATTTGGCTGGTCTGGGTCTTTGATTTGTGAAAGAACAAAACTTAATCTGTACCAACTGCAAAGATGCGTGCTTTGAAGTGTTGCTCTGGATCTAGTTACAGATAGGTCGTGGATGTTAAGGGTTGGGGTAGCAGCTTTGTCTGATACGCAGACTGCTGTGTTTGCAGTGTTTCTCTATCTGGTTGCTCTCTCATCCTTATTTAAGAGCTAGTTGGTGCAGTTGCTCCTTTCCTTTGAGATTCTGTCTTAACTGGTGAGACTTATGAGCAGGCTCTGGGAGCAAAATCTTAGGGTGAAGACTTAGTAGCATGTAAGGAAGTTGTGGTTCTACAACAAGCAGTTGGTAGAACACACAGGACTTCTTACTTTATTTGCAGTCGATAATGAAATAGTGACTGACAACAAATGTTACAGGTGCGAGAATACGAGTTGAGAAAAAACAACTTCTCAGACACTGGGAACTTTGGCTTTGGAATCCAGGAGCACATCGATCTGGGGATTAAATATGATCCCAGTATTGGTATCTACGGCTTGGACTTTTATGTGGTGCGTATTCCCTGCTTCCTTGCAGCTCCTGGGTTTGTGTGAAAGCTCTAGAACACAAAACGATAACTAGCTCACGCGAACTTGCTGCCAAGTGCTGGAAGATAGAAAAATGTCAAAAAAATCTAAGTCTAAACTGAGATTCCTGGGGCTGCTGTAAAGTCCCTGGTTTATGACATGTCTCACAAAGCCTCTTCAGAAACAAATACTGTGGCTGTTACTGGTACTCCTGGGATAACACTGGAACAGCTGTGCTAGGTGTGGGGAAGGAAAGAGCAGCAGGGATTTCAGGAATGCAATTGAAGGATGGGCTGCATTGCTGGAAGATTCTCCCTGCGTTTAGAGGGCTGGGGATGCGTCACGTAGCAGCAGTAGTGGCTGGTGCATTTGAGTTGTTCTGTTCTGTTGTGCCTCATGCTAAATCTCTGAAATAGAGGGAAGCTGTTCTGTACTTGTTAGCAATGCTGTTCAGCAAATCTTTTCTCAAGAGCTGAGGCCTCTGGGTATGGGATAGTGTGTCTTCCACGCTTATTCTGGTTTCTCTGAGTCAGTGCATGCGCAAAGTTGACCAGCTTAGGAGCTGTCCCTGTCAGTTTATGTGGCTGCCCAGCAGTTACTTAGTTTGCAGTTTACATTGAGGCTGTAGAAGATAATGCACTCAGTCTTGAATGTGACTCAGAGGAGACATTACTGATGTGGAAATTCTAGCCCTCTCTCCTAGAAAACTCTTGAGTTTAAGAAAATAAATAAATGCCAGAATAAAATAGTGCTGTTGGTCTCCTCTCTGGGCAGGTGCTGGGCAGGCCTGGTTTCAGCATTGCTGACAAAAAACGCAGGACTGGCAACATTGGAGCCAAGCACAGAATTGGAAAGGAAGAAGCCATGCGCTGGTTTCAGCAAAAGGTAATGTCCCTCTTTATTTTTTGTATTCCAAGAGTTTCCTAGCAAATATCAGCACCTTCACTGTGGAAGGACTGGAACAAGTCACTGTGTGGAAGGACATCTTGATCACTGCTTAAACTGTTGATTTTTGGTGCTCTGGGGCAGTAGAAGCTGCATTTGAGCATGAGTGCTGTTCATGCCCCTTTTTTGTTGCTGAAGTGAAAGAGCAGCTCTTGCAGGACAGCTGGAGGTATCACCTCTAGCGTAAATTTGTCTCCCACAGTTTTTGGAGGTGTTCTGTGTACATGGATCACAAGTGATGAGGCAGGGTTAGGATCTGTTTATCTGACCCAGCTCCTAGCTCAGCTGCCAGACTTGGAGCATGGAGCAATCCAAATAAAACAAGTTCTTGCGTTTATCTGTAGTGCTGTCTGGCACAGACTGGATAATGAATGGGAGATGCCGAAAGCTTGACTGGAAATGTTCAGAGATGGGGACTACTGATACTTTTGCAGAGGTGGAAAGGGTGGACAGTCTGGAGGCTCTTTGTGGGCAACTCTGCCTAGATCTACACTGGTCATACCCTGCCTAAGGCAGGCTCCAGCCTGCTCCACCCCCTCGTGTGTGGTTCTGCTTACTGTGGCACAGTTACCTTCAGGGGCCAAATCATGGGACTGTAAAAGGGACCAGTGTAGTTTTGGTCAGATCAACCTGTGAAGGGTAGGGCTTCGTTTCACTGGGCTGATGAGCAGAGTTTAGTACTTATCTGAAAAAAGCCCCCTGGGAAATTAACAGCACAGCACCAAAGTAGAAAGGCAGTTAGCTGCTCATCCAGGAGAGCTGGTGTTTCATGTCAGTGTTGTCTGGCTGGCTTGGTATGAACATGGTGACTCAGTTTTCTGGACCAGCAGTAGTGCACCTGTACCTGATGGTACTTTCTCACTTGGTTCTTTCTTTTTTTTCTCACAGTATGATGGCATCATCCTTCCTGGTAAATGAGCTGTTCCTGTTACAAAAAAAAAAAACAAATAAAATTTTCTAACCCCCAAGTTCTGTTGTGAATTTTGTGGGGGCTTCTCCTGACTTGGGAAGGTGCTGGGAGGAAGGGTCACACTCAAAGGCAGCAGCAGGACATGGACTCATGCTGTGCACTTGAAGAGAATGTGCTGCTCTCAAAGAGCAAATTTACATGGATACAGTCTCTGCTTCTGTACTGTCCAACAGCACAAATAAGGTGTAGAACTTACTAGAGTCTGTGGAAGGGCATAGGAAGGAGGTAAAAACAACCAAACATGCTTTTTTGACTACTGGAGTTGAACAGAGTTTCCGGAGGGTTAAATTCCAGAGGGGAACAAAATAAGTCATTGTACTTGTTCTGATCCTCCACAGACCAACCTGCCTGCTCTTTAATCAACAAACAAGGGACTCAGAATTAGTTCCTAGAGTAACAGAGTTTCTTCTATTTGGAGTGCGAGTTCAATGGGAAGCCAAAGGAAATGGTGCACGTATCCTTTTATTAAAGCCAAAATGTGGCAGAGGGTTCTTTATCTAAGCAGGCATGACAGGGCTATTGGGAAGGGGCTGAGGGCATGGGCAAGGCCTGTGGTGCTGGCAGGGCTAGGGGACTGGTGAGGCTCCTGAGCTGGGATTCAAATCTGCTGCTGCAAGAGGAGGTGGAGATCAGCTAGTAGAACCCCCGCATCCATGCTCCTTCCATGGGTAGTGTGGGTGACCTCGAGTGCCTGTACCTGCAGCTGGTAGAGTTGTTTCTGCCCCACAGATTGTGGTGCCTTCAATGGGCTGTAGAAATCCTGAAGCAATTGCTGGATGCGCTTGGAATGTAGAGGATGAATTTTGACTAGTTTCTTAAAATGTTTCAGGAGTGTGAATTTACACTGCTGTAGTTATGCAATCAGACAATTTTTCCCTGCAAAGGAATGGCCTTTATTTAAAGAGAAAATTCCCTGCAGGATAATACAGCTCATACAAGTGGAGTTCAGAAGCACCCTCACTTCTGCCTCTAGTGTTTGGTTCTCTCCTGCATCTTACAGTAAAAAAAATATAAAAAAAAAAAAGGAATAAACTCACTTCCATCCAAATCTGCATATGCTACCACCAGTGATTGTGCAGTGTTGTCTGAAAGACTAGACTGTTCCCTTGTCAAGTCTGGTGCAGTTGTAAACCAAGGGAGGTTGCCAGTGCTGTTCAGGATGGAGCCCTCTCCAAAATACACAGGGCAGTGTGTGCTATGCATGCTAAAATACATGGAGGAAAGTGGAGTTGGAACAGAAATTACGTTCTGCCTCTCGATAGGTGCATGCTTGATGTGAACTCTTAATCGAGAACTTGAATTCTTAAGAAAGATCAATAGCTTTATGTGAACTGTAATTTCTGCAAGCTGCTCAGTTTGGGTGAGTTGCGAAAGGAAGTACAAACCAGTCTTTTGCTGAAGCTCTTGTCTTCGCATCTTCATGGCACATTTGAGTTCCCTCGAGCGGCTCATTGGCTTCCTGAATGCGATTTCACCATCTTGTGCAAAAAAAGACCGGAACAAAAACAAGAGCATTTGCCCAGACACTCAGCAGTGTGTAGCTGCCAAAGGTGATGAGCCAGTCTAGGATCATTTGTAAATGTGCTCCAGTAACAGGACCTGTTTTCGGAAGGTGCTGGCCTCAGCACGTGACTGTTGTGTTATGTCTTGTAAAGACCATGGGCTGGAGACCAGGAAATAACCACCACTCACTCTTGGCTCCTGCTTGTCACAGGTTATCGCTGCTGTGGGGCTGTATCTCAGACCCACTGGGGCAGGGTTTGGAGTGCTGTGGGGTGGTTTGTCCTGACGTACTCAGCCCAAGAACATGACTCTGCTCTACAGTGTGGTAAGGGGAGGTCTGCAGTCCCTGTGCCCTTTGAAAGGGCAGCCACCAGGGTTTTAATAAAGACTGGTAACGATCTCAGTCAGATGCAGCAACAGGGAGGGACCCCAGGCACTGAGCAAACGCTTGTCCCTGGAACCTCAAGTTTCTTAATCGCTTCGCCTTTTACAGGTCAGATGCTGCTTTTACAGTAACGTGGAAGCACTGAATGAATTCAAAACCAAGCTGTCAGCTTGATGGTACAAGTAACATGACCTGGCTAGGAATATATCTGCAAGAGCTCCTGGTTTAGATGTGAAGGGCTTCTGGTCCAGCTGACACTTATTTTCAGGGCACCATTTGTCTCTCAAATCTCCTGGAGCCTCACAGCATCCTCAGGCACTTCCCCGATTCTTGAGCTAGAGCGCAGCACTTGGAAGAGCAAGAGATCTTGGTGAGATGCTCCATAATTCTCTTCCTTGCTATCAAGATTCACTTTATTCCTGGTCTGAAGGTATCTAGCTTCAATGAGTAAATATTAAATGTCTTTCCCTTGAACAAATGCTGCGTGAGCCAACAGGGTCTGTTCTAGATCTGTCACTTTCTTGTACCTAATACCAACACTACTGTTGTTTTGAAAGTGTCTTGCAATACTATTCCTACAGTAGAATTTCTCCTGTGTTATGCTAAGGTTTTTTTCTTCTTTTTTTTTCCACTTTTTGCCAGTCCACTCTGCAATATAGTGCTGCAGGCTGAGGAGAAAAGCTCTTCTGTGCTGCTTGCTTCCATGTCTGTCCCGCTTGAGCAATCCCTGCTTAAGCTGCAGGATGGAGATGCAGGCAGCTCAGAAGACACTTTCCTAGAGCTCAAAACTTGCCATGATGGAACAAGAGCATTTGAGACTTTGCAGTGACTCCAAACATCAACGCGCCTCCCCATCCAGCTCCCTCACACTCCTCAGCTCTGTCTCCTTCCCTAGGTGCTGGCATAAGCCATGTGACACCCAGGGCTCTTTATGTACTGGCTGCTGCTGAGGCCACAGAGCTGGCCCGGGATCCAGAGCTCAGGGAGCATGGGAGGATGATAGTGCAGCACGAGACACCCACGGTGGCCTCTGGGAGGTCCTCGTCCTCAGCCCACTCATTGAGGTCAGGATTGTAGCACTGCACACATTTCTTATACCTCTTCCCACTCTCATTCCAGCCACCCACCAGGCACAAGCGCCCCTCCAGCAGAGCCACCCCGGCCGTGCTGACCCCCATGGGCAGGGGTGCCATGTAACTCCACTGCCCCGTGACTGGGCTGTAGCACTCCACCGGCATCACATCCACCCGCTCGCCCTGGGGACCCAGCTGGCTCCCACCCAGCACATACGCTCGGTCAGCCACAGTGGCTGCACAGTGCCAGCCCCGGGGGGTGCTGAGCCTTGCCTGTTCCCTCCAGGTGTCGGTGCTGGGCTCGTAGCAGCATACATTGCGGGAATAGGCATGGCTGATGTAGCCACCGGTGACCAGGAGCTTGCCATTGATGATGCTGGTGGCATGGCAGCAGCAGGGCGTCTCCAGGCTTGCCTTGCTCTGCCAGCTGTTGGTGGTGGGGACGTAGCACTCGACAGATGCCAGTGCACCCTCAGCATTGCGCCCTCCGACAGCATAGAGGAGCCCGTTGCAGGCGCTCAGGCTGAAGTGTGTCCTCCTGTGCTGCATGCTGGCCAGGTGCAGCCAGGTGTTGAAGCGCGGGTCATACCTGGGGGGTGAAGGGCAGATGGGTCTGTCCAGGACTAGCATCTGAGCCACAGGGAGAAGAGGGGCCTGCCATACATCTGCCTTCAGAGGAGACAAATCATGCTCTGGAAGAGCCTCTCTGTTCTCCAGCAGTAGAAAAGCATCTGGACAGGCAGTGCTGATGGAGACGACAGCACTGCACAAGACGGGATCCTACCTGTGACTGCTGGGGTTGTGGCCACTCTAACCGTTGGGATGGCCCAGCATTGCTTCTGCCATCACAAGCTCCCTCCTGGCTTGGAAATGGCTTGTGCTACCAATCTGAGGTGTCCCCAAGCACTGTCACTGTCCCCTCTGCTGGGTCTTGGCAGGTAGAAGAGGACCTAGGGGCAGATGTTCCCTGCCCACCCTGCCAGGCCAAAGCCAGGCATATGATAACAAGCCAGCCCCTTGCGTGCCTGGGAGATAGCAGAGGGAACTGGAACTGCTGTGTCCCTAGAGCGATGCCACAGGGACTGAGGCCAGGCTGGGAAAGGTGCTGGATAAGCTACTGGCCAGAAATAGAAAGGAGAGCTGCCAGTGGGTCCCTGAAACCTCACTTGGTGCAAAAGAAAGAGCCCAGTGACGGCTCCTAACTGAGGAATGGTGATCAGGGTCTGCGAAGGGCTGGCCTCAAGCAGTGCTGACAATGTTGTGTGTGGAGCCCAGATGGCTGAGCCAAGCTGTGGGCAGAGCCACTGGGAAGTTCAGGTTTAGGTTGCAAACAAAATACTGCATGTCTGGTTGCCATGGTTACTCCTCCTTTCTTTGAATAGTAATCCCTCGGCGATCCAGTGACAGGTTTATGGGGATTTAGGAAACAAACCTTGTCATTTAAATGATGAGGAGAGAAAGGGAGGCAGAGAGAAGAAATCCTGAAGGGCAACAGGAGTCCCACAGACAGTAAATCTACCTTAAAGTGAATCCAGAGACCAAGTTAAGGCTGGCACTGGCTGGAGGAACAGCCAGTGGGTAAAAAGGGGAGCTCCCCAGAGTAACAAAATGGGTTACTTGTAAATAATGTCTCCCATTTCTCCAGGAGCCTCACAGCTTTGAAGAGGCTCTGCCTTATCCTCATCCTGCACTGGTGCTGTGCGCTGCCAGAGGACATGGGCAGCACAGCCTGGGCATCAAAGTCCCCAGGGGAAGCCCACGCTGGGGACACACAGACCAAATCCCTGGAAGTGGTTTCCAGGTCTTGTGTCTCACAGTCCAGAACCCTGTGCTGGGCCTCGCTGCATCTGTCCCTCCCCAGCAGCATTACCCTAGAAGTCTGACCCACCTCTGGGTTACTGATAGCAGAGGAACCTTTCTGACGCACTTGTCCCTCACCCCATGGCGGGTGCTGGGGCACAGGCAGACATGGCACAGCTCTGAACCCCTCCCCAAGGTCTGCATGGCCAGGTGGAGCCCATCTTACCTGCTCAGGCT